TTTTTTTTTTTTTTTTTTTTTTTTTTTTTTTTTTTTTTTTTTTTTTTTTTTTATTTCTGTTCCTTAACACACACCTTCACTTTAGCAGCTACCGTTACGGAAGTAGTTACGTTCCCTCCGTTCTCCGGTCGATACCAAAGTCTACACCAAACACGCTCCGGTCCTCTTGTCTTTGTTGCGCTTATTATTCGAACCATGCCCTGACTTTTACCTGTTGGTGCTCCCGTACCACCAACCCTGTCATCGAAGTACGCTGAGTATACAAAGAATTTGAATCTGAGAATTGGAAAAAAAGAAACACCATCTCTTTAAAATTTTTCTTCACGTGCTTCTCTCTGTTGTTTTACGTGTATATACATAAAAGTGTTCGTGCGGGAGGATGGAAGAGAAATTTATCGGGAGAAAAGGTGATATTTTTTTTTTCAAATAATATCCTGTCCTAATTTTTTCTCTAACTCTTTCAACAAATTTTTTAATAAAATCTCGCGAGCCTTTTCACGCAATAAACGTAATAAGATACGTTAAACGAAGAGAGATCTTACAGGAAATTCAGCCACGTATAAAAAAAGTGACCTAAAAATATGATGATCCTCGTTTGTAACATTTTTTTTTTCCTTTAATTTTTAGATTATATTATCGTTATAATAAACACGAATAACGAAAATATTTTCGTTTACCACGTTTTTAGATCGAATTATTTCGAGAATCTCTAGCCAGAATAAAAATAATCAACACTGACCTACGTTAAATAAAATATACGGAATAAAATCGTAAACGTAAACATTTTCTTCGCCGCGGTATTTATTCGGCAAACGTTCACAAACCCGATTATCTTGAAAACAAGGTTTTTAACGCATTCCAATTCATTCCAATAATTCCAATTGATCTTTTCGAAGAGGAGCGAAAATATTTTTTTTTTCTTCTACCTAATAAATCTATCGAACGAAATAATTAATTTTTTCTAAATTTATCTTATTTCCAAACAAATATATACAGTATATATATAAAAGAAAGAAAAATTAGAGGGGATCGAATAATTATTATCGGGAATAAATATTCGAGAAAGGGTGATAACGCACCTGGTCTTCGTGACCGGCAACCATTCGGCGTGCGTGATCCTCAAGCTCTGATCGAGTTGCGGTAGACGAGCCTCCAGGTTGGGTGGTAAGCTCGGTAAACCTCTTGGGTCCGGTTGTATCGCGGCCTTCTGTCCTCCGTCGTCCCCGTGCATCAATAATCCGATATGATCGTCGAAGCTGCCCTTCAATCCGATATAATCTTCAGCCTGTGAAAGCCAATAATGGGAAACTGTTTAGTCGTCGTATATATTCCATCCAAATCTTATTATATCAACAGAGATATACGAATTAATCGGTCTTTTGATTTTAATTTTAATCTTGTTCCCATCCCATTGTGCATTTTAAAATTACAAGAAAAGAAGAAATTAAAAATTAAGGGGGTAAAGTATTCGAAAATATGATGGTATTGGAAATCACTAGATACAAGAAAGAAAAATACAAGAAGCACTCGTAGTTGTTTTGATGGGTGACCTTTGTATTCTTTTTCTAGAAAACCGTGTGTTATTTGACCGTAAGTTAGAATAGGTAAGAGTCGGTAGCGAGCAACAGCTCGTTATTGCCCTCCTCCTTCTCCTTATCTTTATGTCTCCCCACTTATGTCTCCTCGTTCTGCTCTTTCCCTTACCACTCTCTTTCTGTTTAGCACTTCTTTCTCTTCCATTTTAAAATTACGAACGAATTCGAAATTTCTAAAAGAATAAAACAAAATTCGAATAATGGATGATTACTTACTGTGGGATATATCAATTTAACTCGCGAAATATATGAATTCGTGCAGTAATTTAAATCGAAAATTTATAAGTTGAAAAGGTTTTTCAAACATACAATTGGGTCAAAGTTTTTTCTCTAATTTTAATAGAATTGAAAGATAAATTATACGTTTCTTGAAAAATAATGTGTTGAATTTATATGCTATGTAAAATGTGTGATTCATATCTTGTACATTTATGCGTGAATGTTTTCTGTTCCCCTTTTTAAACCTTTTTAATAGCGAGTTAAATGTGTAGTGTATATAATTTATTCCTATTTCCTTGATTAAATTTATTCTTTCTTACCGCACACATATTATTTATTTTAATCATTTCATAACTCATTCCCTGATACAACGATTGGTCGAGTTCTAAATTAAACAAAAAATCTTTTTTTACTCGAGATTAAAGATAAAAACTCTGGAGAATTTTAACATATTCTACTTTGCTAGAACTATTTCTAACTCGCATTATGAGATCGATATACATCAACCACGTTAAATTAATAAAGTTAACTTTTTAATTTTGAAGCGGAAAATTTGCGACGAATCGATCATTGCCATAATTTTTTCCATTTTACTTCAAATTAATATCAATTTGTCCCGAAAGGGAGATCGAACGATACAGTTTTTAAAAAGATTTTAAAATTCTTCGAGAATCGTGGAAAAAATGACACGAAAGATCGAGAACGAGTATTTATTACTCGACGAGCTTTTACATTACGGTCCAACAGAGTGTATACCGTTTCTATAAAAGTTATTTCCCGCTGGGCGAACCCACTTTTCCATCTCGGAAATCATCCGAGACCAATTTAGCCCCTAAAACCGATGTCGCTTTTTAGATCTCCACTTTGGAGAGATGCAGAAACGATGCTCGTCGAGGAGGAGAAGGAGGAAGGGAGAAGGAAAACGAAGGATTTAATCGAAAAGATTTCCATTCTAAAATGATGCGAAAATGAAATCTTGAAGAATGAAATCTTCGTGGAAACGAATATGCTCGCTCGAAACTTTCGATTTCGAATTTTTTTTTAAATTTAAATTACAATAATTTCTTATCGCCTTCTAAATCGTTAAAAACGAAAGAGAAACAAATTTTGATTTTGATAAAATTTTATAATAGAAGAAACTAATAAATTTTCACGATATCGAAGATTTTACAGCAGCGTATAAAATTGCTGAAAATTTATCTAGAATTTTATTTAATTGGAATTTTTTATCTCGTTTTTTTTTCAGAATTCGTGACATTTGTGTAAATACCGTCAGATTTCTGATTAAATCTATAATAAACGACATGCAAAGTATTTGTATTGAATAAATTATATGACAAGGCATACATTTTTAAAATACATGTGTTTATTATATCTTTTATCCAATTATCTTTGCATTAACTTCATCTATCATTTCTTCATTTTTATTCCTTCTTCTATTCAAATAATTAGAATAAATTAAAAGTAAGGCAATAATGAAGAAAAAAAATCTTTTTCTTCAAAACTCCTTCTTCGTCAAACTCACACGGATAAATTTCATTTCTATTCACTTTTCCGCTCTAATAAATTTATATAATCGATAATTCCGATGAAATCTCGGTCGATAAAATGAAAACCGACAATAGCGATAAAGGAAGGGGAAAAAAATCGGATAAATTTTAATTTCCTCGGGAATTAACCAACTCGATCTTTCACCTCGATTCTCGATCTCTCGAAAGGACAAAGAGAAAAAGATCGTAGGGCACGAGGTCGTAGATGAACTCTCCGTCCGGAAACCATTTTAATCTCCGCTATAAAGTTCTCGCAATCATCTCGAATAAAAGGGAGCGGATTATGACCTAAAATCGCGCGCTTTGGTGTCCGCGCGGTTTTACCCTCGGGGAAATTAAAACGTTTCGATGGCCTTTGGCAATCCGTGACAACCGAGTTACTCTCTCTCCTTGACCGACCGGAACTTTCCTCTTCTTTTCATCCTTTTCTCCTCGTTTTTTCGATCCTTGTATACATAGCGCATGCGCGATCACTACCAAGATGAAAATTCGTATACGAATAATAATTCTCATCTAATGTTATATTATCTTATACATATATAACGTAATTATTGTTTATAATATATATATATAATATTTTCTCAGAAATAAACAATTTATCCGTTTATAATAATTTCTTTATCATCGATTCGAACGTAATGACGAGATATCCACATAGTTTCGATCGAATATGGAACACGAGCGAAAAATTCTACCTAAGTAATTGATAATAATTTTCGATCTCTCCTCTTCTTTCTTAGGTAACGAATATCCGACGACAAATATTCGGCCGGGACGATACCAGATATTCCATTTGGAGAAGAAGCTCTCGCTTATGGAGAGGTCGATAATCCTCAAACGGGTTCGAGGGAAGGAAAAGAGGGAACTGGTAAAAGACTTTCGAACTAATGGCAACGGCTCAACTTTATACTCGGTCGCCGCTTTGTTCGTACAAAGCGGAAGAAAAGTGGAGACGGAAAACTTTTCCATCCTTTCGGGCCCATCGATTTCTCTCTTTTCTCCTCCTCTTCTTCCATGTCGCCATTCGCTCCCCCTCCTATTTCTATTCCTCTCCACCTTTTATTCCTCTCTCTTTCTCTTTTCCTATTCTTAACCTTCTCTATCCCGATATCTTTTTTCATACGCTCTTTCTTTTCAGGATTCTTATGAATGCATCGACATTAATGGATATTCGAATTTGTAAACGTTGTATTGTAAACGTTGGCTCACTATGTATGTACACATACAGATGTATATACATTATAATTTTGACGTGCACGCTTGTTACGATGAACAATCGTTCCAGTTGCGAAATCAAGGTAACCGCGATCTTTATTCTCTGAATTAATCGATACGATTTCAACGAATCATAAAACTACATATCATCGTGACAAGAGCTTCGAAGATCATCCTGTATTCGTGATTAAAATGTTAGAATTAATACGTGGAAATTATTGGATTATAATTCTAGGTTAATTAATAATAAATATTAAAAATAGATGGATCAATTAATTTAATTCAAATATTTTGTTTTATTTATTAATACTTTGTAACAAGATTGTGAAGAATTTTATAACAAAGAAAAGTGAAAGCTGATAAGAATAGATGCAAATGTTTTCATAATTATAGTATATAATCGAATGATAAATTGTAATTCTATGGAATTAATTTTATTCGCGATTATTCGTTCACGAATACTTTCCACGCTCACTGTACGCTTACAAAACGCTCGTTTCACCCTCCACTTTGTATACCAAAATCACCGATATTTACCAGATACTGTATCGATTGAATATACATAGCGTGTGTGTGCACAGGAATCGTCTGAAACGGTGTTTATGTCACCAGGGTCGGTAACCAAATAAGAGCGAACCTATTTTCCCGCTTTTTCTTTCCTTTCACCGGGAATATCACCCTCCACCCTCTCGACCGGATCAATATTTGGCCGCGACTAACGACGATTAAACCTGTTAACAAAACGGAAATAAACATTCGACGAATTTGGTTCATCGAATGCTGGTAAATAATTCGTTAAACGTATATTTCCGTCACGGTTAATCTAGTTCTAGCCATGAGAAAATCTCTTCGAGAATTTACTTTTAACAACAGAGAAGAGTAATTTTAAATAATTATTAAACAAATTTTCGATAATATCGCTCGTATTCAATTCGATAATTTATCATATTGGTTTCGAAGTAACGATGAGAATATAATGTATTGCGAATAAGAAAGAAGAAGAAATAAATGAATATTTAACGATAGAAATTTTTATAAACTTTCAAAACTTGGAAATATTCGTATAATCTCAGGTTAGAGATTAATTTACGAAGATTTTTGACAAGAATTATATAATTTATGAATAATAACACGTAACGTTCAGACCGCATATAAATGAAAAAATTCTCTTCTATCTTTTAATTCTATACTATACAGTATAAATAACACGTTCGTATTCTCGAGAGATATATGAAATTACGGTTACGGAGTTTCTACCGTATCTACATCTAAGCTAATAAACTCGCATTTATTATAATTCGTTCTACTTTATCTCAATATATCATCTTATTTGCGTTTCTTGTCGCGCTGTAGATGCAAAAACAAACACGAAAGTTGATATAGAGAAAATACAAAACTTAGTTTCACTAATTAGTAACAGTCTCACTTTATTTCTCGTGTAAATCAACTAGGGAATCCATATATATAACTTAATATATATTTTACACGGATGAACAAAAACCAATATTAATCTAACCGACAAAAACACTTGCACATTCTTAATAACCGAAAAATCAGAAGGAAAAAATCAAAATTTGGACTCGATTCGCTATTTCTACTTATTAAATTTCTAATAAACGAACATTCTCCAAAGATGTCACGAACAATACTGTTCGCTCTTGAAAACAAGTCTCGCGGAGCGGGTATAGAAACAAGAGGGGTCGTCTATCGCTAGGACCATCTATCCCCACTTTAGACGCTTTGTTGACAAACCTGACACCATACACTACATAGTAATAGAAGAGCTATAACTTGATATATTCAAAATTATAAAAATTATTCTTATTTATAAAATTATGTTAGGATAATCATATTAATATATTTATAGTATGTCTATAGTTTATTCGTACATATATATATAATTATTATCTTAACTATTTAAATGAATAAAATTTATAAATTAAATTTGTATCGTTACAAATTATAATTAAATTACATATATTATGAAGAAATAAAAAAATTTTTATATTATATCGATACTCTGGATTCTGTACCTACACTAAGTTTTACATACAAATCGTTATTCGCTACACTTTATTGTCCCTCTCCATCACAATCGGATTAATATATCGTGAAAAATATACCTCGCTACGCTAGAATCAAAAATGCGCGTAAAAATAAATGTTTCCTTCCACGTTACACACGACTGAACCAATTATATCGATAGTCGATAACGAAACACGATCCCGTCTACACTCGAAGCCATCCTAATTCTCTCTCGACGTAATTTGAACGGCAGGTTAAACGCGGCAGGTCGCGAGATTCGTAGGGAGCGTTGCGTTTAATCAAGCACGGATACAGATGGTTGTAATTGCGTACTTACTCCGATCTCCCCGTAATCCGGCCGATCGGGCGCAGCCGGCAGTCGATGCCCGCTCCTGTGACCTCCTAGGGCCCCACTCCCACCTACGCCCATGCCACGCCTCTCGTCGATCAGGAATATCTCCGTGAGGACGATCACGGCGAACACGCCGAAGAACATGACCACGAGCATGAACGACAAGTTGGCCCTTTCCTTCATAACGCCAGCGTTC